GACTTCCAGTAAATCTGCCAACAAGACCGAACACAGTGACAGCGTTAAAACGCGATCTCCTTTTGCACCGGTCCTCAAAAAGAAAATCTTGTTTCTATCGTTAAATAAAGGATACACAGAGTATCGCGTCCTTCCGATTGTTAGAGAAGCCTGTTGAAGCGAGTCCCTTCCCTGGAATCTATCTAAAAGAATAACGTCGAGGTTTCTCTTTCCTTGTGCAGTCCACTTTTAAAGTTGATGACACTTCTCTACCATAACCTTTCAGTGACATTCTGGTAAGAGAACTCCATTACAGAACACTTGTAACATCCACACTTAGCATTTTTGCTTAGCTTAACTTAGCACATACTGGCAATCGTCAATCATGATGATTTCGTCGCTGGTAATAAAAAAAAAAAACTTTCCCAGCCTCAAAGTCACTGTAACAAATGCAACTCTTTTTACGAACGACGACCTCCAAGCAGCCTGAAACTCAATCTGAGTCTTTGTTATCAGATATAATAAATGTTTCATCTCCAAATCCTGAAAACGGTAAAAGATAAAAACAAAATTATCATAAAATTATAAACATTTTTGGTGTGGTCGTTCTCCTTTCTCGCCAAAAGATACATAAAGGCGCGATAGACCCGTAGGTAGAGTCAAACCACTATAAAATTCCCCTCTACCAAGTAATCATCCACGTGATCGCTTTCATGGTAGAAATATGAAGAAATTAAACTACAAACCTTGATCTCTCTTTCTGCGCCACGAAAGAAACTTTCTAAGTACGACAACAGCCGCTATTACCAACAGAATACCAACCGCCAAGCCAACGAAAATGGACACATACTTGATGGTTTTGTTGGAAACTGAATAGAGATGAAATATGAAAGACGGTAAATTCTGAGGCTACTTATGAGATAAAGAAAAAAATATTTTTGTTTGTTTTGTCTCATTTCGAGCTTGGGACAACAAACTGAGTATTGGCCTAGCTTACTACAGAGTTCTCTGTGCCTCAGTGGTAGAGCATAAGAGCCGTTATATTCATTAAATTGAAGTTAAAATACATTTACAGCGTGCTATACTCCACTAATTGTCCCGATGGAACTCAACGGTGATATAGCTCAAAATTGCACAACATTATCCAATACTGTTCAAGCTAACTAAGATAAATATTAAAATAAAATATATAGGTAGGTC